CCTCCAGGCCATCCACAGGTTTACCTGATCACCAGCCACTATGGCGCCAAACAAGTGCAGCAGGCAGCATTTCAGACTCTCCTTAAGGTGCTCACTCTCCTGGAAGCACTCTGGAACAAGAGCACACACACACACACACACACATACACACACACACAGAGTGCATAAGTTTGATCAGTAAGCGTGATGTCTGTTATGCAAATACAACGCAACCACATAACGAAACTATATCTCACAGCAAACTGTTTAAGTTCCGGTATTTTTGCCTTTAAACAGACACACCTCTATCTTTTCTAACCCTTTCATATATATATACGCACACTCACGCATGAAAGCTCAATGCAATCTGAAAAACCAGATAAGATAGCACACACAGGCATGTGGCAGCACTGCCAGTAACCTCTGGGTCATGGTGGTCCCAGTCATCCATTAACTCATCTGTCAACACATCCGATTGCGTTGAAGAAGTGTGACTTCTTGGCTCCGTGATGTCTGTTTCCTTTATCCTAATAATGCTACACTTATATCACATTTTACAATCGCTGGATCACAATATCATCCAATGGAGCTACATATATAAATGAGCTTAATAAGTGGAAAAATTTGCCTTCACCAAAAGTCTTCCTACACACACACACAGAGTCTGTCAAGCTGGGCCTTGGGTATTATCTTTTAGTGCCAAACCACAGCAGAAACACACACAGGACACAGGACAGAAAGGAGTATTTGTTCAAAATGTCCGCCAGCGTAGCTGAAGTGGCTTGACAGACACCATTCACTATCGGCTCATCTCAGCGCCTGGCAAACAGAACATGAACACAAAGAGTGGATTCAACTGGACCCAGAGAGCAAAGCAGAGCAGGCAGCGGGAGAGAGAGAGTGACGGCATGGGAGCTCTTAGAAAAAAAGATGGTAGAGGAGAGGAAAGGAGAGGAGAGGAGAGGAGAGGAGAATATCTGTTCTGTGATCACAAGCTGGCTTTTTTATTGCTTCCTCATCCACGCCCAATGAGGTTATTGAAGCAAGAGTATGGACCATACAGAGGAAGCGCTGTAATGTTGCTACATGCCATGTGTGTGCAAATATGTTGAACAGTTGAACAGACTTACGGTAAAAGAAAGGAACAAACTCAACAGTGAGCGGAGCTGCCTTGTACTTCTGTCTGCTCCTCTCTACTGTACCCAGCTGCTCCCTGAGGTGAAAAACACGTACAGTTCAGGTACAACATGCATACAATACTTCACATTACTTCATAATGTACTTTATTTTGTAGTCTTGCTAGCACATCATTCCTGTCTGTCAGCTTAAACCAACACAAGTCCAAGGCCATAAACCAAGCTTGTTTGAAACACTGAGAATTTACTTCTTCAGCTTGGTCCGTTTAGGCAGATAATAAAAAAAATAACTAAGGATCAGATGTTTACAATATAAACCAAACCAAAACACTGCAAAACACTGTGATTCATGAAAGGGGACAACATGATCATAATTAGTTAGATGGCCCAACTTCAAAGTCTATTTTTCTTTCATTCAGTGTTCAATAAGCCTTTTCTATTAAAAGAAACACACATACTCAAGTGGAAACAGCATGTTCAATTGCTGCTGAATGTTAGCCTTATTGTTGTCATGTTATTGTTCAGTAATGCCAAGCTAGCTGCCCGATGATGTTACCCGCAAGTTCGATGCCTCCAGTTGCGATATGGGTCGTAGAGGCTCTCGCAGAAAGCCAGCGCATGACGGACAAACTCTTCCGCCTGGCTTTGGTCTGCCATCTCCTTCTCTTTGGTCTTGCTCTTCAGCTGTAACACACACACACACACACACACCGACCCACTTCACACCTGCTATTGTCTCATTCAGACTATTTCTATAAAGTTCATCCAACATATGAATTAGGTAATTAACATTTTCATTTCAATGTGTCTCAATAGATCTCTTTTTCAGTTGCCAAATAGCAGAATGGCACAGATGTCATGTTCCTCCAACATGAGTAAACCATTCAACTATCCAACAAATAGATTTTGTGCTTTTTGTGCCAAAAATAAAGATCACAGAAAGATCAGAGCAAAAACAAAGAGAAGAGGAGTCAGACCTGCTGAATATAGAGCGTTGTCATGGTGATGATGTGATTGATGTAAGAGCAAGTGCCAATCTCCTCCACGTTGGACAGGTTCCTTTCAGAAACACCCAATCATGCACACACACACAGAAACACACACACAGAAACACACACAGGACAAGTCAACCATTAGCTTTATCAGTGATTTGCTTCAGAGTACCAGATATCCCATGAAGGTCAAAATGTCCCCAAATCAGACTAATACACAACAATACAGCAAGACACAATCTATGCTGTGTTCCACGTTTGCTGTCCAGACCTGCAGATGATGATAAGGAACTTGAGCAGCAGCAGAGCCAGGTTTTGCTGCTCAGGCTCCAGGCCGTCAGAGGCTTTCTGGACGCACTGCAGCAGCTGGTGGCGCAAAACCTGCAGGATGTTGTCTGGGAGGAGCGTCAACACCGGGGGAACCTCCTCTGGCCTGGAGACACAGAAGCATCACAACCAAGAGAAGCAGGATGAATAAGAATCTCCATTATATACCAGGTTTACGAAGTTAATGTCAAAATTGGTAAAGTGCAGACGGACGCTTTAAATATAGCCTTTTATCAGGGGGGTTTGTCACGGAGGTGTCACTGCAGTATGCAAGGGCAGCTTGAAGGAGCCGACCCTGTTCTGCATTCAATCAATCACACACACGTGCCTGATGCATTCAGACATTAAGTCCAGGGAAAAACAGCATGTGTGCTGCACTGCTCATATGAGGAAGAGAGAGAGAGAGAGCGCGGCCAAACAAACGCAACGAGTGTGAGTGGGAAAGCAGGACAGATGTGGCAGCTGCAGAGGTAGGGAAGGAGGAGGGGAGGGAAGTAAATGGAGAGAAGACAGAGGACAAAAGGCAAAGAGACAGCAGTGGGAAGAGGATGAAGGAAGGAGTCAGGAAAAAATGATTCAAAGAGGAGAGGAGAAAAAGGAAATGACAGAGAGAGGGAGAGATGAAAAGCTTAACAAATAGGATTTAACCACCCATATTCCTCCACCGTTCACATGACGCCCCCGCCGTTATAAAATGTGGTTGACTGACTCACTCTCACCACCAGCATAGCCAAGGTATCAATGAAGCTCTATAATACTGGATACCAGCATTCAGGTGTATGTTCAAGCACTGAGGGGCTCTCACATTAACCTGAATCATTATGTTGTTGTAACGAAATGTGGCCGCACCGCACAAAAGCATCTGGTGTGGCCGCGCTATTTTGGGTTGTGCTGTGGAAGACTGCGCAGTGTGTGGTCACACTGTGGATGACGCATACAAGAGGAGATTATTCTGATCCTACTCGGGATGACCTAATGCAGAAAACTGCACTGATGTTCCAATGTTAAATGTAATCAGACTAATTGTGCGGGACTAAATAGCAGAAAATCAGAGGCCACCCTGGGCTGGTGTACGGCAGTGATTCCCAACCAGGGTTACTTGCGGCTACCTCTGTAGTTGCCAGGAGGTACATGAAAAGCTCTACTACTAGTTTATATTATTTTGTTTGTACAGATTCTCTTTATTCTTTTATATTTCTGGTTAGTTTTGAACAAACAGAAGAAGATCAGGGTATTTACTGTGACCAATGATTCTGTATAAATGTGTAAATGTGTATCAAATGTGTTTGTTTGCTTCAATAAGTATGACGGCAGTTTGCTAAAAGTTACCTTGAAGGTGGCTTTTCAAAGTCCACATCCAGGCATCGCTCATAGGAGCTGATGAAAATCTCCAGCCATAACTTCAAGTAGTCTGGATCCCTCTGAGAAATGAACAGAGAAAGACAGAAGGGAGGGGAAACAGGGGGAATATAGTTAGTGGTCTTTGCTGACAAAAGCTGTCATGGTTAAAATACATAAATGGCAGGCCGCTGACAGGCCTCGTCTGCAATTTGATTCAATTTATTGTGTGTTTGTGTGTGTGTGACTTCTATAGCCAGACAACAATAGGCTGCAATCTTTTTTGTCTTCTCCCAATTCACGACTACAATAGATAGGAAAAACTGACACACCCTTCCAAATGCACAAGGCGATGTTTTCATTTCCTCGAGGACTTTAAAAAACGGGATATAGTGGTTTATGAAGCTGCAACCGAAGCACGTCAAACACGTGAGAGCGGGAATGTCTCAGGTGGGGCGTGTGTGCATCTTCTCTTTTTAAAGGCGCAGCAGCTAAAACATGCACCTGTTGGAGAGGGAAAACAGGCCCGGCTGCATTCTGAGGGGGAGCCGGCTGATCGACATTTCCTAAATTCTTGGACGAATGCCTAGAGAAGGATGGAATGGCAACATCAGCCACAGAGGAAGGCTGGCTTGGCTCGGTTTCCACAGTGCCGCTCCTGGTGTTAAATCCCCACAGCCCACAGGAACAAACACCAAACACCAAACACAGGGGACCAGACGGCAAAACTACAACTGCTGAGAGAGCAAGAGCTGACAGTGTGTTTATGTAGACTCAAAACAACTCTCAAAATACTCATTACCAGTTTACTATTACTACTTGGAGCATTAGCTCTTATATCCCAATAGACAGCAGTGTCAGTTTTTATTACCATCATTATTGTAACACCTGACAATGAAACCATAAAAAAGTCACTTCTATTCCACGCACTAAACGCAAGAGCATGACAGTAAATAAACATTTACTGAGGTGAAGAGGGCAATGTTTAGTCAGTAAAAATAGAACTCATATTTACAGTACTGTTCTGAAGGAAGCTTAAAGTTTCACATGGTTTTCAATACACAGATGTTTTTACTAATTAAATTACATTACACATTTTCCTTTTCTTTTAGTAATTACCTATAAACTATTTACAAAAACTTAATTTGGTCTTATTAAATCTTTCCTAAAACCATCCGCACCCACAGATCTGACCTGGGGACACAGAGAACTCATACTGTAATGTTGTTACAGTATATAATCTCTCCACTGAGAGCATAATTGATGGGTGTGTGCTGTAGAAATTACATTTGCAGCAGAGGAAAGAACTGTCACAGCGTACACCTCAGTAGGACTGCAACCGACAAAATGAGCCAAAATTAGCCAAAAATGCATATCACAATTTACCAGAGCCAAAACACATATTCACATGAAGTCCAAAACCCAAAGACAATAAATAACATGTATCTTAAATAATATGAAACAAAAAAAAGGGGCAAATCTTGACTAAAAAGATGAATCTATTACCAAAAGAGTCGTCAATCGACTGAATTGAAAGTGTTTCAGCTCTACACACACACACACACACGGACACATGGATGGGCCAATTAATTCATCACACAGGAGTCATCACTTGTTCACGACCCCCCAGCAAATCCTGTCATGGGGCCATCTGGAGGGTGCCAGTGAGCAATCTAGGTCAAGAAGGGCTGAAGAGGTGATCGGGGCAGATTACCATAACACAGTATATTGTGCATTTGGTAGTACGGTCTGACCAGCGCGTGTTTGGAGGACATTCATTTAGATAATTCTTTCGAGGTATCCTGTCATGAAACGTGAAAGTGTTGGACAATTGACGATAGACAATAGAGCCATGCTGCAAAGCTTAAAAAGGTAAAAAACTGCCTATATTTCACTGACTGTTCAGACAAGTCTTGATAAAGCTGTTTTCCAGTTTGTGCCCCCGTATAAGACACGAGGGAGTATGTGGATTTTAATTTCATGCAACTTTCCTCCTTCTCCTCATCCTCTGTCACAGTTGTTGAGCCGTGTGGCCTACATTTGTCATTCATCTAAAAGAGAGAGACAGCAGTCTGGTGATAAAAAAAAAAATATCCGGAGGCTAAGATAACCAGCATGTACATTTATTAAGCTACACCCAAAAACAGACAAACAGATAGAGAATGCAAACATTATTTTCTTAGCACTTTATTTAATTACGGTCCTGCACAGAAGCTATCCCCACTTGGACATCGACTGAATACATCTGAAAATATCCCATAATGCCAATTTCAGACAAACAGGAGGCCACAGACAATTCACAAAACCAGCTTATACACTTTCCTATGACTCCATTACTTAAATATGGAAGAATTTGCCGATTAGAGCTTGAAGCTGAAGGAGAAAAAAAAAACACAACTGGAAAAATGGGTTTTTCTCAGGATAGCAGTGCCATCTGGCTAAAGAGTGGGAGAGGGGCTGAAAGGCTGACTGCTTCTGTCTGCGTGTCAGAGTGGGAATCGGCCAGAACGAAGCAGGAAGCCAGCTCTCTGCAATTCCTATGAAGTCATCAGAACAATCCTGCGACGCTGGCCTCTCTCTCACTGTGTGTGTGTGTGAGAAAGAGGGATGAGAGAGAGAAGAAAAGAGGGAGAACGACATCTGAACGGGGAGAGCGAGAGCCACGTGTGAATAATATGTTCTGTTGGGAGAACACGGCATGCTCCTTTTTCCTGTGTTACCTTAACAGCACGACTCACTGACTGTCTGCTGTTCAAAACATGAATACTGTATTGTCCTTACGTGTTAATGCCACAACATTAGAATATGATGATTTTAAGCCAGCCAGCTTCACTCTCACATTGTGACTCGGCTTGGTAGTATTTGACTGAATGACTGTGTGTGTGTGCGTTGTGTGTGTGTGTGTGTGTGTGTGTTTGTGTGAGTGAGTGTGTGTGTGTGTGTGTGTGTGTTGTGTTGGTGTGTGTGTGTGTGTGTTGTGTGTGTGTGTGTGTGTGGTGTGGAAAGATG